TCCCAGCTACTTGGGAGGCTGAGGCAGGAGACTAGCTTGAGCCCAGGAGTTATAGGTTGCTGTGAGCTGTGATACTACAGCACTTTACCCAGGGGGATAGCTTGAGGCTCTGTCTCAAAAAAAAAAAATTAACAAAATGGTTATTTTAAGCTCAAATCCATCTATAATGACCAATCTCTAATAGGTACCATTTTCATGAATTTGATTTAACTTGACTGTGTCACTAAATGTAAAAGGAATATATGTTTATTTAAGAGCATTTGGAGGCTTGGTGCCTGTAGCACAGTACTTACAGCGCCAGCCACATACACTGAAGTTTGTGTGTTTAAACCCAGGCTGGGCCAGCTAAAACAAGGACAACTACAACAAAAAAAAAGTCAGGCATTGTAGTGGGTGCCTATAGTCCCAGCTACATGGAGGCTGAGGCAAGAGAATTGCTTAAGCCCCCGAGTTTGAAGTTGCTGTGAGCTGTGAGCGCAATAGCGCTCTACCAAGGGTGACATGGTGAGATTTTGTCTTAAAAAAAAAAAGTGTTTAGAAAATATAGAAAAAGTTTAAAGAAGAAAATTACAAATCTCTCTAATTCCAACAACAGAAAATATGATACCACTGTTAATATTTTGTAGTAAAAGTTTATTTTGAAAATAAGTTTAGTTCATTCCTCACTCTAGTAAGAAATATCTTTTGGGGTGGTGCCTGTGGCTCATTGAGTAGAGTGTCAGCCCCATATACCAAGGGTGGTGAGTTCAAACCCAGCCCCGGCCAAACTGCAACAACAGAAAAATAAAAAATAAAATAAATAAAGTTAAAAAAAAAAAAGAAATACCTTTTGTATATTCAGTTTACATTTTGTAGGTTTGATCTTTAAAGTTACTTAAACTATTCTTCATTAATGTGTGCTTTTGTTGCACTGAATAACTTAATTTGGTTAGTTTCTAGGTCATCGATGTCTATCTCATTATGTCTCTAACAGATCGAGATGGTACAAGTTCTGTTATCCAACTGAAAGCCAGAAGGACTTTAAATGAGAGGTGGGAGAGTCCACTGTGGAGAGAAAAAAGGCTTGGCTTAATAGAGCACCTGCATTACAGCAATGTTTATCCAGAAAGCATTCCCCGGAAATTTATTTTGGAACACAAAAAGTTTCTTATTGAGCAGTATAATTCTCAGCCTGCAAAATACATACCACCAGAAGGAAAGCCCCCGAAACTTGATGATTTTCAGAGTGCTCGAAGCCTTGGACATTTTGAAGTAACCATTCTAGGTAAGTGAAATATTCTTGTCTTTGAATATAGTTAATTTAACATAATTTTAAATATAGATACTATTTTGCTTTAAAAAAATTAAGTCCCGTTCCATAAAAAATCAACCCCAAGGGGAGCTCTTCTTTCAAACAAAAGGAATGGAGCACTAATTCTGCAATAAATGAAGTTCTGATTATGGACTTTGAAACTACTGGCAAGCCTTTGTGAAGTATTTGGGGACAGAAGAATGGGAACTAAGGAAACTTTTACTCCCAGTATCTGACAGAATACTTCTAAGACTGGTACTGTTCTCCCTTAGCCACCACTTTCTTGCTAATCTTCTCTGCCTCTCTCTCAGTTCATCTCAGCCACTAAAGGGTAAAGCATAAATTAAAGAGAAAAGGAGGTAATAATCAACAGAAGCCCCTACAAAAAGATGTCTGTTTAGCCCTTGAAGAAAATAAAATCCTTAGGCCAGGTGCAGTGGCTCATGCCTATAATCGTAGCACTCTAGGAGACTGAAGCAGATCGACTGCTTGCGCTCAAGAGTTAAGACCAGCCTGAACAAGAGCAGTACCCCATATCTACTAAAAAATAGGCTCAGCGCCTATAGCTCAACCGGCTAAGGCGCCAGCCAC